CACGATCTAAAAATGATATTATTTATATAATTTATTTTTTTACGCGACTCACTAATTTTTATAATTTATAATGTACGTTATTATAAACCATAATGCATATTATTCTAACTTATAAAGTATATTATTTTACTCATAAATTTTATTATTCTATTACATAAATTACAATATTCTAACACATAATATATATTATTTTATTATATAAAATACATTATTATAACTCATAATATGCATTATCTTAACTCGTAAAATTCAATAACATCGTTTTGGACGGGATCCACACAATTATGGACCCATAATTTGTCAAATTTGGCACCTTGGGTTTTGTCCAATCCTGTGGGGCCCTATACCAGAAGAAAACGTTTTCCTTTACATATTGGGTGTAAAAAACGTGTGATTTTATTTATTTATTATTTAGAAACTTTGTCTCGACCTAATTGGTAGAGTTTGTTAGAATTCTTATAGGCAAATTATATCATAGATCAAGATTTACCTTACATATCAACTTCTATGACAAATTATGCCCTGGAAACGTGTTCATCGTGAACGGTGAAGGCCAAACGACGTCGTTTTTAGGTAAAAAAAAAAATAAAATCGCGGATGTGGAGTTAACGGCGCGCGTTGATCAAATTATGAATTTTCATAAAATTCATAATCGCATAACAGAAAATTCATAATCGCATAACAGAAAATTCATAATCTCATAACAGAAAATTCATAATCTCATAACTGAAAATTCATAATCTTATAACAGAAAATTCATAATCTCATGGTTCCAAAGTGAATGTGTAGGCATGGTTCCAAAGTGAATGTGCAGGCATGGATTCATAATTTATGAATGTCCGTGATTTCAGACGGGAATGTGTAGGCATGGTTCCAAAGTGAATGTGCAGGTATGAATTCATAATTTATGAATGTCCGAAATCATTGTTCACCTCAAATTAAAGTAAAACCGCAAAATGTGAAAATGAAGAAGAAAAGTCACGCAATTAATTAAGAAAAAAAAAAAGATAACGGTGTACTAACACCGTTGGAACCGTGTTGTGTTCACCATGAATGGTGAACACGGTTCCATGGCATAACGCTCCAACTTCTATCATAGATCAAAATTTACCTTACCTACCTTAATCTAAAATGATATTTTGTTTAGTACTACTGACTCTACTACAATGTAGTATATGGCTTTGTTTGGCAAACTTGGTTGAAAAGCTATAAGCTAGGAGCTGAAAGCTGAAAAGCTATAAGCTCGAAACTGAAAACTGAAGAGCTGTTAAGCTAGCTGTTATAATTGAAAGTGTTTGGTAAAATTAGCTTTTTGATAAGGTGATAAATGTAAAAAGACTAAAAAGGACATCTTCATAAATTTTAAATTAGTTTGTTTACATTTTAAAATTTAACATTTTGTCTTTAAAAAAAAAATTAACATTTTGAAATAAAACTATTAGCATAATCATGATCTAGCATCTCATAATGAAGTTGCAATATTGTTGCAAATCTCATAATAATAATAATAATAATAATAATAATAATAATAATAATAATAATAATAATAATAATAATCCTTTATATAATAAAGCTATATGGTTTGGGAAATAATTAATGTTACAATTAATGCCACAATATCCTTTATTATAATAAAAAAAAAGCACAACATTTAAAAAATAAAATAGCTATATATTATATAATCATATAAAAAATATACTTTTAAAAAATAAAATAGCTATATATTATATAATCATATAAAAAATGTGTTCAATTAGAGTTTAAATTTACACATACAAAATTTGAAATTTGCTTTCCAAATCTAATTATCTTAGTTATTATTCGTATTGTAAAAAAAAAAAAAAACACAACATTTTAAAAATAAAATAGCTATATATTATATAATCATATAAAAAATATACTTTTGAAAAAAAATAGCTATATATTATATAATCATATAAAAATGTGTTCAATTAGAGTTTAAATTTACACATACAAATTTGAAATTTTCTTTCCAAATGTAATTATCTTAGTTATTATTCGTATTGTGAAACTTATAATATAGATGAAATACAATTAAGAATAAATCAATGTAATTATGTAAATTCTCTCTATAAGTTTATTTGAATTGAATATGCACATAATTAGAAATTATATTAACCATACAAAATTTTATTTTAATTTTAATTGTAATTTTGTATTCTATAAAAATAATAAATATTTGACCAATGGAAGCTCAAAAATATTATTATATTAAATAATTTAAAATATTTTAGTTTTTCTATTTTTTATTTATATTTATAATAACATAATTTTTTCCCGTGCATCGCGCGGGTGAATTACTAATAATAATAATAATAATAATAATAATAATAATAATAATAATAATATTTGCGGTGAAAGTTGCGGATAAAGGAAATTAAAAGAAAAAAGGGTTTTAATTGGAAATGGTAAATTATGTCATTTCTTAAAAATAATAAGGATAAAGATGGAAAAAAAGTTAGGAAGCTAGGGGCTCTTATTTTAAGCTAGGGGCTTATTTTGAGAATATTACCAAACAGAGAGCTTATAGCTTATGAGTAGCTTAAAATAAGCTATAAGCTTCTAAATAAGCTCTGCCAAACAGAGCCAAAGAGTCAATATCCGGGGTTTGAACTTGTGACCTCCCATTTGGGAGAGTCACAAAGATGTCATTGAGATTATGTTAGAATTTTTTTTAACAAAAATAACATTTTGAATGACTATTTTGTGATACAAATATATGTAAAGTATAATCTCGATTTGAATCATATCATAATGATTTAGGTGTTTTAACGTGAACGAAAAAATTGATATATTGTATGTTTAAAACGAATAATGAGTGAATGAAAATTTATTCTTAAAATAGACCACTTGAGAGAAGTCAAATACTGCTTTTAAGCACCGTTGGCACCTTTCGGTGCTATGAATTAGCATCTCTTGGGTGAAAGGTGAGTAAGCACCAAATGGTGCTTTAAAAGCATTGAATAGTGCTTTGAACTAAGTGGTGTTTGGTTCAGGTTATATTACATAACTAAGGGAATGTAATATTTTCGAGTTTACATTCTTATGTTTAGTTCATATTCTTTAAGGGAGTATAACATTTTCAGGGAATTGAATATTCCCTCCACATAAGATTTTAAAAGGAATGTGATTCCCTTCATTTTCTTAAGTTATGTAAGATAATCTTGAATATTTATAAATTTTGTCATTTTAATTTTAATTATTTAAAGATATTATTATTATTATTATTAGGCACAAGTGTCAAATAGGCCCATCTATTACTGCGAAGTGCTCCATTTTCACCACGAACTAAATTAAGTGTCAAATAGGACCGTCTACGAGTTAAATTTGTTCATCTAAACCCTATTTACCAGTAACCAACAAGTTACCGGTAAAAATAGGATGACATGGCAAACCTTTCTTACATGTGATATTTTTATTATTATTTTAAAGAAATCAAAAATTATTGTATGCTTCGTATAAAGCTTCTCCGGTCTTGACATCATCACCGTCGACCGGTGACCACGGACCACCGGCCATATTGCCGCCGCTAACCATTGTTGAACATCTTCTTCAATATGTATTTTCTATTCAAGACACAAATATTTTACCTTTTACTCTATTATTCATTAGCATTTTTTAATTATATGCAAATTTGAATCTGGTAAAGTAGAAACTCCAGCAAGTTTCTTGAATAAATATACATCAGAAATTAGTAAATCATAGAGAATTTATAGACCCAACGAGAAAAAGGATTGTAAATGCCTTTGATGGGAAAATCAGCAATGCCAAAAGACTACAAGATTCTACCGTGGTGAACATGATTTTGCTCTCCAAGTTCACTTATCTCAACTCCATGAGTGGTTGTAAATGCCCTCTCCAAAGTGAAACTCTACGCATCTTCGCCGCATAGCACCATTGCTGTGAGGCGACGACCGTTTTGTCTTCTCTAGACAGAAGAAGGTAGCTGTCGTGTAACCTTCTTCAGATCTGAAGAAGGTGACTGCCCCTTCGCCTTCTTTGGATGTGACCACCGCGTTGCTTTTTTCGAATAAAGAAGGCGGTGCCGGCATGATTCGAATTTGATGAAGAGATCGATGAGCTAGGAGATCATTGAGGAAGATGATGAACAGAGACGGTTAAGGAAGATGATAATTTATTATTAATAAATAAATCAGATATTTAATATTTATGATATGTACACGTAAGCTCCAGGTTGGATTTTACCTGTTTATACCTGGTATTTACTGGTAAATAAATCTAGATGCACTAAAATAACAAGTGCCTAATTGCAACTTTTTAAAGTTGAAGGGTTTAATTACTTTTTCCTATAAAGTTTGAGGGTCTATTTGACCATTTTCCCTTGTTTTTTTAATAATTGAATTGGTAACCTGCAAAAAAAAAAAGTCAATTACCTGCAAAAAAAAAAGTTAATTGAACAAATTTAGTAGGTAAGTGTGGTTAATTAGCCTTTAATTTAGTTCATGGTGGAAATTGAGCACTTGACAATAATACATGGGCATATTTGACACTTCTCCCTTATTATTATTATTATTATTATTATTATTATTATTATTATTATTATTATTATTATTATTGTAATTAGATTATATATTTTTTTATTACGTTATGTTAACATATAAAATAATTTTGTTTCTCAAGTTCAAGATTTTAGTTAATATTTTAAAATTATGTAATTATATATGATACCGTTATCTTATTTTTTTGAAAGCATGCCGTTATCTTATTTATGGTCCATGCATTAATGATTGAACATATTATATACTTTCAGTAAATTGATCATGTATGTGTAAATAAGTTGGACCAGGGTCCACGTTGCATTGTTGACCTTGGTCCAAAATGACATTTAGATTATATATCTGTAGTTAACATATTATTTACTTTCATTTAACAAATGATTTATGTGCAGTGTGAATAAATTAAAGGTACATAATACGTTATTTACAATATGTACATCATTTATTAACTGTAGGTACATAATATATTAATTGTAATAAGTACATAATTTTTTATTATTATTAAAGATACATAATATGTTAACTATAAGTACATAATTTGAACAAAGTTCACCATGCACATGGTAGACCCAAATCCATAATATAACAATTGTAAAAGATAAAGGTCCTAACTAATTCTAACCCCGATACCTCCCACTAGTTTTTTTTTTTTTTTTTTTTTTTTTTTCAGTATTATTTAAATACTCCCTCTATCCCATTTTATCTGCCATACTTACTAGTTAAACTAACTCTTTTTTCTTTGTTTATTTTGTTTAGTACTTGTTACTATTTTTAAATTTGAATTTTTTGTGTTTAATAGTATTTTTAGTGTAGTTTATAAATATATAATTTTTTTAATACTAATACTAAACTTAATATTATAAAAAATTGAATTAAAAATAACTTCAGTCAAGTCTCATTAATTCATACATATAAAATGAGACGGAGGGAGTAGTACGTTAACTCAACTCGTTTAAAATTCGAGCCTAACCTGTTAATTAAGTTGGACCCATTTGTTTTCCAAAAAAAAAAAAAAAAAAAAGTTGGACCCATTTTAGCGGCTCCATCTGTCAGCATCCAATCAACAACTATGACATGCCAGCGGCTCTGATGTGTGAGATTATAGAATTTAATCACGTTTTAAAAAACAACAATATTAATATGAGTTCTACTAGATAGACTCTCAAAATTTTACTCTCTCATTTATATTTTCTGGGATGACAAATCAAGATTGGTTATTTTCATCTTTACTAAAAAAAAAAATTAATTATTTTCATCATGTGAATCCACAGAAAAATGTCTACATCAAAAATATGTGAAAAAAAATACAAATTAAAAGTTTAAAATGAGAGTACACCAATTATTTTCCAATTAATATCCTCTGTTATCTATTGAATCAACACTTATGATACCCAGCGGCTTGATGTGTGGCTGTGTGCCAGTGTGAGTGTGTAAGAGTCTGAGCCACAAATCAGGTTCAATCATTATGGAGTTAATTTTGGAGGAACATTAATACGTAGATTACTGAATATTGTTAAATATTATTATTTGACACATATTATTTACAATTGATTTTTTTAATATGTAGAATTGATTTTCTTTTAATATGTAAACTTTTTTAAATATTGTTAAATATTAATGATAGATATATTATGCTCGGAGCGAATCGATCCGAGGCGATGGATCCGGAGCACCTCAGCCCAAAGCATATGGATCCGGAACACCTCGGCCCAAGGCACTACGGACCCAGAATACCTCGGCCCAAGCCACTTGGGCCGTGGTCACCTCGGCCCAAGGAGCTTGGCCATAGGTCGGGCTCAGGCCGTAATGAGATCTGCCTGGCCGAGCTCGGGGTTTTAGGACGGCGCGTGCGCGCTTTGGACTCGGTCCTGAGCTAGGATGCGGTCAAAGCGTAAGATCCAACCACCCCCGGTTTAGGGGGAGCGGTTGGAGGTTTGTTGTATAAAACCCCCCACCTTGTCTCATTAAGGGACCTGATCATTTCTTACACACTTGGTCCTAAACTATCGTTGTAATAACCTGCCTATTATCATAATACAATATACGGTCTCCACGACCTTACGGCATTGTCTTGTCTATTCATTTATTTACTAATTACGTTCTCATTCGGATTTAGTAATTCGGGTCCATCCCGGGTAATTAAATACATCAATTAGTATTTGACAATACAAGTTATATTTGGTTTTCTTTTAAATTAAATGTGTATTTATTTGTGTTTGCAATGCACATTTGAAATGTAGAGATTTATAACAAAAAGTAATTTAATGACAATTACAAAAATATATAACAAAAAATACCATGGAGACAGTAACACTAGTGAACTTTGCTTTCTCCGGATAGGTGGACATGGAATGAGCAATCTTGTTGCTGTACCTGTGGAACAATTCATCAATTATTCCTTCACCAAAGTGGCTAACGAGCATAGGCTCAAGACCAGCTCTCATGCACATGGCAACATTGTTCCCTGCACTATTAATATCCTCATCATCATTATCATCCATTCCAATATATCCAGTCCAATGAATTTGGGAAGCCTCCAAGCAATCAATAGTGAAGGAAGCATCCTTCTCAATTAGGAATTTTATTTCTGCTAGAGTTGGTAGGTATAGAGGAAAATTAAACGAATTTAATTTCTCTTCTTCAATAAGACCCAGCAATATCGAATTGAAGCAATTAACTATAATCATACATGTTGTTCTCTCTCTCACACACTATATATGTATGTAGTAACGTATTTTAAGGTTGTGTTGGTCTGATCTTTAAATTTAACTACCTACGTACCTCTGCAACTAGATCATTAATGGCTAAAATTAAGAGCTCCCAAATATAAAAAATGGGGTTTTCACTTTTTATACCCTGCATGGTCAAAATCATTCTCCCACCACTGATCAGTTCTTTAGAGCGGCACTTGAGAAGAATAGAAAAATCTCTTTCAATTGATCATAATATGTTTTTATGACATTTGGTGTAATGTTTCAATAAGGAGTTTAGGGAAATGCTATTAGGTGCCAACGTCATTCTCAGGGTCGTTGGGCTATCAATTAGGACATAGCCTCATTCTCATGGTAACTTGGCAAATTCATGAGGCAGGCGTTTAAGCAAATACTTGGGTGTGCACATTTCCTTCCAAGTCCGATCCATTTTTCAAAAGATGAGTTGGATTAGTGAGAGTTGTGGCTATGGTGTAGCCCTATTCTCATAAGAGGAACACCTAATCCTTGCACCTTTTGCATAGTTACGACCTAACTATACAAGAGTCAATACAATCCACCATCTCACAACTAAATCAACATTGAACCGTTACACTATCTAATTTTTGCAATTCAATTCACATTGGCATTCATAACAAAGGAATTTAACCCAAATCCCTAAAGAAGTTTAACTACTCGATCATGCTATAAAAGTAAATGAAATCATCAAATGAAACAAAGAACATTGCAATCACAATTCACAAGAAAGAAGATACAAAAGTGAAAGAGGTAAAAGACTTAGCTTTGAACTATGAAATCTGGAAATTGATGTTTAGTAACAATTACAAGCTGAAATTGTTCTTCATCTTCAAGAATGTGGATTGATTACAAGGTTTTGGTGTTTGAGAGGTTTTCTAATGAAGAAAATCTAGAGAGAAGCTGGGGAAATAAATTATCACAAGAAATAATCGCCTCTTGGTATTTATGTTCCACAAATAACGTTAACTTAACTACTAACGAGACTCATTGTACTGTACGCATAGTCACGGTGGAACTCACTGTGTGAGTCTCATCGTGACCACCAATGATCAGATTCTGATCATTGGATTCACGCTAGCACTGACAACGCTAGCGTGAGGCCTCAAGGTTGCCTTTGAGCTCAAGATTTATTCCTTAGTTTCCCGGCGTGCTCTCATGTCCCCGCCCGCGCCTTGCACCTTGTCGTCTCGTTTTCTTCCAAGATTAGCCTCCTTTCATGCTCGTTTACACTGTTGCTCAATCTTTCATTCTTTCAATAAAAAACACAATCACCCGCATGAGTAGCTCAACTGGTCATAGAGGTGAAACTTTAGAAGAATAAAAAACACAATCAATTAAGCATTGCTCCACCGTCATTAACTACCTAAGATTTAAGCAAATTAAAAATAAGAATATACAAAGCACAAATATAAGCCACTTTATGCCTTATCACTAGTAATAAAGAATTATTTGCCACAAATTGTTTGAAGATAGTATTACATCCCACAATCTTAACTAAACACACGAAAATTTATGATACATTTAAAATTAAATTACATTTGAACAATGTTATATGCTCCTATATCTACCATTCACAAATTTGCCACCCAACATGATGTTACATGTTTTAATAGGATGAGATTTGGGGGAAACAAAAAAAAAAAAAACTAATAAAATTTGTCACATAAAAAAGTTGCAATTTTGTGAATAATTAAGAGATCAGAGGTAGGGGTACAGGTAGGGTATTTTCCATTACATTTTAATAACAGAAACAATAACATTAGTGAACTGAGTGGTCTCCGGGCGAGTCGATATAGAATCAACAATCATCTCTGTGTACTTGTGAAACAACTCATCAATTATTCCTTCACCGAAGTGACTAACAAGCATAGGCTCAGCAACTGCTCTTACGCTTCTAGCAACACCGTACCCACTATTAACCTCATAATCATCACTTCCATTATATCCAGTCCAATAAATTTGGGAAGCCTCCAAGCACTCAATACTGAAAGAACCTTCCTTCTCAACTACCAATTTTGCTTCTGCTAAAGATGGTGTGTATAGAGGAACATTAAACGAATTTAATTTCTCTTCTTCAGCAAAACCCTGCAGCATCAATCAAATTAAAGCAATATTGTTCTAAAGTGTTGCAAATGTATGTATAGTAGTAACCTAGCTATTTTAAGGTTGTGTTGATCGAGCATATAACTTATAACTACCTCTGCAACTATTTCATTGAGGGCTAAAGCTAGGAGTTCCCAAAGATGGCAAGTAGGATTTTGGCTTGGTCTACCCTGCATGGTCAAAACCATTCTTCCACCTTTCACTAATTCTTTAGAGCGGCACTTGAGAAAAGTAGAAAAATCTTGTTCAAACTGATCATAGTATGCTGCCATGCAAATGTTGCCTTTGTTCTCTTCTATTCCTTTAGGTACCTGCCCGCAATCAAAACAAATTGTTCAAATTAAAGCTAAAATTAATGATGTTGAAATTAATATAATAGGTATATAAACTCGTACGTACTTGGGATAGCCAATGGAGACTATAAGAAGAATGAACAAAATGGAGGCTATCGGTGGGGAAGAGCCTTCCATAAAATGAACCAGGAACTCCATTGAAGAAACACAGCCCAGACCCGTCTCCTGCTATCTCCCTCCTATGTTTTGGCAACGACTGGAAAATGGTGTTGAAGTCGTTGGTGGGAAGGTCATTTAAGTAAATCTGGAACTCCGGAGAGTGTCGCCGCCGGAGCTTCTTCCGGTGGTTGTCGACGGCTTTGACGAGGTTGGAGACTGCCAGCAAAGTGTTGGGGCCAGAGGAACACCCCAAGTCTGCAATGGAGATGCTCTTAGGATTGCTGAGGCTGCTGTAGAGGCTTGTTATGGCTTCTTCTGTTATTGGCTTTGTCATAAGTATCACATTTTGCTGCATTAAGATACTCAAAGCAAAAAACTTAATTTTTTTTAGAATTACAGTACAAAATTTATGAGTTACATGTGCTTCCTCAACTAAAAGGCTAAGCTAATAGTTAGATTGCACATTAATAGATCGACACATCCCTCACGCATGCGGTGGTTCCAAGCAACGTAGTCGCTTATGGGTGGCGCTGAGATTCGATGGTTCTGATACCAAATTGAAGCATGTGCTCCATCTCAACTAAAAGTCTAAGCTAATAGTTGGATTGCACATTAATGACTCATTAGTATGAAGGGATTAATGTTAATGAATACAATAATTAACCTGAAGAAGGGAGTTGTTGGCATAACTGGAGTCTCCATTTCCTCCATTCATGTGAAGCACTTCACCTATCCTCATCTCTCCGATCCTCTGTCTCTTTCTCTGTATCACTCTCAACTTTTCAACTTGCTCAAATATGCATGCTTACTTAATTGACATCTCAACTTTCATATAATAAGAATATAAATATAATACTTGTGAATAAAGATACATTTTAAGGATGGCTATAAAGGAAGCATTATCCTAGGCAATTGAACAAGGTTTGCAGAAGGTGGTGGTTTTTAGTGATTGTCAATTGGTTTGTCACCTTCTCAATGGCTCTGTTTTGGATTATTCTTGCACGGGCTGTATTATTAGCCAGTGTCGAGATCTTAAACGACACTTTGAAGTTGTGTCTATTCGGTATGTCCCTAGATCAGTGAATAAGCTCGCTCATAGTGTTGCTAGAACTGCTCATTCTTCTACTGGTCCTTCTGTTTGGTTTAATTCTATTCCCCCTTGTATTGAATCTTTGATTTAATAAAAGTTTGGAAGTTTATTTTCAAAAAAAAAAAAAAAAAAAAAGACAATTTAATTTCTGTGTCCATAGGCAAAATTCCCTCACTCCATGGGCCTCACGCTCTCGACCGATATGATGGTAGAAGGGCAAATTACGGTGACTCAACAGTATCTTATGTATAAAAACCCGTACTTAGTGCCCACAACGAGCCCACCACATTGGGTGTAATTTTAACACTACAACTATAAAGTTTCAATCCTCTATCCTTGTTCATAAATCTATCACCAGAGTACCTATTGAGTTGCATGACTTTATTAAAAATCGGTTGAAAAATATGAGTTACTAAAAATCAGAGGTTACCTAAAGTCCTAAATCAATTAAACTGGTTGAAACCGGAAAAATAACAAAAGAAAAATGTGACAAGATAAAAATGCCCTTACAAAAAATAGAAAAAGTATTGAGAAGGACTAAAAGTTTGCCAAAAATAATAGTCTGGGATGTAAAATGACAAAAATGATAATCTGAGACTAAATTTGAAATTGCTACCAAAGATAAGGGACCTCTAGTGGAATTAACTCATTTATAAACATGTGTATACTTGACTTTTGTTTCAAGATAAAATGTTACAAAATTAATTTATATTTCTAAATAATCAATCTATGCTGATATTATATTCTTTGTTGCATATTTCTATAGTACAATATATGACCAATATGCTGATATTATATTCTTTGTTGCATATTTCTATAGTACAATATATGACCAATATGCTGATATTATATTCTTTGTTGCATATTTCTATAGTACAATATATGACCAATATGTCTTTAGACATTAAAAATTTGACAGCACTACATGGACTAATAATATTGGACCACAATTTAATTGAATTATTGAAGTCTGTACATCAATTAATTAAATTAATTTCGACTATGTTATTTGCCTAATTAAATTAATTATTTGATAAAGATTTAGTCATATTATATATTTTAATTTAAAATATTATAGTTGTGTGATAGGATCATGAACATGGATATAAAGATGACTAAATACATTTTATATAAGTTTTTATATTATCTCAAATATTTGTTTATAATTTTTATAAAATACCAAATAGTATGAGACTAATTGAAAGTCTCACATTCTCACCCCTATAAATAGAGACATTAATTTCATTTCCAAACATCACTTTGAAGCTCTGCAACCTTTTTTTCAGGAGTTCACCATTGAAGATCAAGACGTTATTCACTATAATCTAATTTTGAATTTTATATATATACAAAAGTTCATTTTCGTGTCTAATTTACAATGTCTTATTTGTAATGTTTTTTATTCTTATATAGATTCTAGAAGAACATTTAAACAAAATGGATGCTAAAATTACAAATATTGATTTGTGAATTATAATATGTATATTCATATTAGTTTTTCGTATCAAATTTTCTTTACCCGAGCAAATTAAACTGTTTCATATCAATTTTATTTTATATAACAAATAATGGTCTGTTTCATATCAAT